GTCACGTTGTCAGTCGTGCGTTTGCCTGATTGCAGCGGCGGAAGTAAAAGCCTGGGCGCACAGGTGCGCATCAGCACACCAGCAGCAACATTAGCGACATTGGCAACATGCGACATGCAATATTGCAGATGCAATATGCCACATGCAAGCCAATCGAGCGCACACGTGTGTGTCTGTGTCCAACGGACGACAAATTCGACAGAAATTTCTCTTTTATTTATTGTAATTTCGTTCGCCAGCTGGGCTCCTGCCTATTCAAATGTGAAAAATAATTTGAAAAGCGCTCGCGCTGGAGAAATGCTGCATGCATACGTGCAAATATTTCCATTTGTTGCCTGCGACACGTGAGCAATTAAATCATGCCCAATGAACTCATAATTAAAAGGCGAAAAACAAAAAGCTAGCAGCAACAAAGTTGTGTTTCTCTTGCTTTGCTGCTGCAATCGTCGGATCGAAAGACTTAGGCAACGAACGCGCCACCTCGCCAGCCGTCGAGGTAAATCAGTTTGACGATCCAGCCCGGGAATTCGACATGACACGGACTGTCTTTGTCTGCAACAGCAAAGACGCTGATTGAAAGATTAGCCAAGTGAACATTGAGCGCAGCAAGGGAGTAGATTGCCAACCAGAGTTGCCCTTGAATTTAAATAATATATATGGTAAACATAGCATTTTGCAGTTGAAAATATCAATTTAGGATTTATTTATGTCTAAGCTATAAGCAGTGTTGTTGTGTGTTCAGATACTTGGCATGTGCCTAAGTACAATTTTTAAGTACTTACCTAGGAAAATAAAAATAACAGGCTACATTTTACTTTATCTGGGTAAAGATTTTTACTTATCTTAAGAATAAGATACGTTTGCTTTATTATTTTTATTTATTTTTGTTTTTAAATTTGTTTGAGGCGACTAAATTCAATTTTTTATTATTTTCACAAATATTCTAATAAAAAATAGCAAAATTTACTACAACTTAAAGAGAAGTAAATTTTACTGCTTATGCAATAAATATATGTTTCTACAAAACCTATATCCAAAAAAGTAGTATCTTTCCCAGCACTGGCCATAAGTTGTTATAAATTTTGAATTTTGAACTGTGACAATTTTCTTTTAATTGCCGTTCAAATTACACATTCATACTGTAACCAAAAGATAGATTGTTTGGGATCTTTGGCATCCTACATGTAAATGCGTCAGTGGAAATGGGCTATCAATTAAAGCCTCGAATGGAGAGAAGTGTGCCGAATGGGCCTATAAATCAATCAACAGGCGTTGAGACCCATGTGACATGTAGAACCCGATCGCTCATCGTACCCTAACGACTTTCCCCGCCAACATGACTCAGGGCTAATGGCATCGACATCGACATCGACATCGACATTGTTCGTACTCCACATTTTCGAGTGAAATTCCGGACTGCAATCTAAGAACACTGAAACAAAAAACCTAAAGCGAAGCCAAAGCCGAGGCGTGATTATCAATTTAAAGAGAACCGAACCCGTTGTTAATGCGAGCCCAACGAATCTCGATCTCGATCCGAATGGGAAAACACTTAACGCGCTTGTCACGCACATGTAATGCGAAGAACACCACCGCAATGCTACGTGAGTGTGTAAAAAAAAGGTAGGGTAAAAAAAATAAGGTAGGGTATACCATATAAAAAAAGCATAAAAAAAAGAAAGATCAACTGGATGCTGGACAAGCGGTGAACAACTAAAAATTATCATATGCAGAGAAAGTCATGTCCACAAATAATTACTACATTTTGGCTGCCTAAGAAGACGCAACCGAAACAGATCCATAAAAAAAAAACAGATTTTTACTTGTTGTTTTTAGCAAAAACCGACGAAATTTCTTTCCACAATTCCGTGAAATTGTTGGGCATGAAATAAGTATACGTATGGAAATAAAAATCAGCCAATGGTCAAGGCTTGTTATTTTTTCTCACTTCTTTTGTACTGGTTTTTGTTTTACTTGTTTTTGTTTTTGTCTGCTTTTTCAATTAAAGTCTAAGCAAAAGCTGAGCAATTGCCAAACGGAAACCGAACGGAAAGTGTCAACACGATGGTAGCAAAAGGGGAAAAACGGGGGGAAAGGTGGAAAACTGAGGCGTGACAGGAAGTTGTAGATGCCGCAGCAGCAACAGCGGCAACAACAACTCATTAGAACTAATTGTGGGGGTCAGGGGGGGTCAAGAGGGGGCTGGGGGGTCAGGGGCAGCGGTACGGCAGTTGCTTTTTTTAAATGTATTTTTTAACTTTTTTTTTTTAACAGGTGAAAGGCCGTCAAAGACGTTGGCCTTTTGCTTTTGCTTTTATTTTGTTTTGTTTTAGCTGGCGCTTTTTGGTTGCTACTGCAGTTGTTTGTCGAAACTTAATTGTAACTGCCAAATAATTTGAGGCGGCCACAGAAACAGATTATCATTATTATTACTACTCTCTTTCTATTGTTATTAACTGTTGAAAAGGAAAAGGGAGTGGTGTTGCAGGTTGCCGTCTTCCGTCTGCCAGTTGCAAGTTGCAGCTTGCTGGTTGCTGGTTGCATGTTGCCGCTTTTCATCGACATCGATAAACGAGATCTTTGTCTTTGAGGTCGGAAAACTCCACCATTATCGCGATAAAAGCCGAGTTATTTGGGTCTGGGTCTGAACTTAACCACTGATAATTGTCGTTAATCGGCGACATTGCTGCGATGCCAAATTGCAAGCGGATGTGGGATGAATGCAGCACATATTTTTATCAATGGTTGTTAATCGAATTCAATGTCAGTCGATTGTTGGCAGGGGGTGTGTAATTATACCATATGTCCAATATAAAAATTTAATTTCATTTTCAACTACTTTTAATGTCTTGTTAAGAAATCTGTTTTAAAGCTAAGATTTATTTTCATAACCCATTTCATAACAATTTTGCTTATTAAGTTACAATCCATTTTCAATGACCCCATTGGATTTTTAATTAACGCTCGCTTTTTTTAAATTATTAATAAGCAATTAAAATTAATTTTACTTCGATGACACAATAAGTTTTTGAGCAAAGCAGCCTAATTTCATTAATTGATTGAATAATATGCAGTTTTATTGATTTGTTGCTTTTGATAATAACAAGTATTACTTAATAAAAAATTTAAAGTTGCAGAATCATTTACTTGCATTGACTCAACTTGAATTTTTAAGACTGCAAAATTGGATCTTGATTGATCAATTGCATATTCATTTATTATTTAACTATTTGCAAACGACGGAATCGTTTATTTTCGATGACACAATTTAGATAATTCCGATAATCGATCCGATTCAATTGGCAGGCAACAAGTTAAACTCTTATTATGTGACTAACCGGTGCGATTTATTAAGTATTCCGATTAAATGAATAGCCTGCTCACATAACCCAGTTCTATATATAACACTTACAATTATATTTCCATTCGACACACTTTTTCCCGGCCATAATTGGTCCATCGATAATCGGTTTTCCCACAAGCCGCCAACTCCCGATTATCGAATGATTTATATGTTTCCCATTCGGAGATCGCAATTCAAAATTCCGATTCATATTTCACCATTAGTCGGCGGGCAATTATAAATGTTTTGATCCGAGTAATTGCCGCTTGCGTCAGTGGCTCGCAGTTCGCAGCGAGTTTAAGTGGGTAGCTGAGGCAATTTCGGCCCAAACCACCTTTCGCCCCCCAAAAATAATCCCCGGGTCGTCGGTTAGTTAGTTGAACTTTGGCGAACTAAATGATTTATATGGCGTCTGGGCTGGTGCTAGTGCTAGTGCTGTTGCAGCCGGCAAATGGTAAAATAACATAGTAACAAATCGCTCCGAATCAAAGTGCATTATGCAGGGCCCAGCGGGGCTGCATAATTTCAATAATAAATTTCTATAAATTTTCTTTCCCTCAGTTTCTTTTGCGTTTTTGTTTTTTATTTGTTGTTTTTGTTTTTTGGGGCCGCACTGCAAGTGAAGCGTAGAATTACGTGAAAAAGTGAAATTATGCGACGGCGGTGAATGTAAATCGCCGCAGATCTCTAGCTTACCGACTTACACACCTACAAACTTACCAACTTACAAACTCAGCAACTGGCAGTGGTGCGTGAAAGCAGGCACCGCCACTGAGAAAAGCGCCACCAGCACCATTCGTACACTGAACAAAAATTATAAGTAAAAAGTATCAAAACTCTTATAATATATAATTAGGTTAATATACCTCTATAAACAAAAGTATGACAAAAAAACATATTTTATATACGAATTAAATTGGTGTTAAGACCTTTTTAAGATAATTTAAGATACGATAATAATATATATCAATAATTGCATTTACTATAAAAATTAATTAAATTTTAAATAAATATATATTGATTACTCCAACTTGCTTACTTAACGGATCGGCGGAATTGTCAGATATTTTGTTCAGTGTACTCAAACCACCAGCAGCACCGCCTCTGTCGATGCGTGTGACCCAATTCGGGAAATTTTCGATTGCAAGTTCAAGTTTTGCTCACTTTATTTATACACAATGTACATATATAATACATATGTCTCGTCTCGAATCGCCTTGCATTCTGGCTCTTCGTCTGCGTTCACTATTTGCCAGGCTGTTCACGTCGCCACTTGGACTTCAATTTTAAGAAGGGGCTCGGGGAGGATGGGCAGACGGCAGACACTCCCCACTTTCTTTAACTTTCGCACAGAGTCCACTTAGTTCGCTTTTTGGCAACGCTTCAAGTGCGTTTTCCTACTCATCGGAAATATCGATCGACATAGTTTGTTGGCTTTTACTCGGTTAATAAATACATTGCCATTTTGTGGAAATACATCATGCTTTAAAGGTTGCAAATTGGCTTAAGAACTTCACTTCATATTAAAACCAATCGGATTGCATTAAAAAAACATGGCAAATAGTTAGTTAACTGTTCTAAAATCATAATTTAGAACAATTAATGGTTTTTGTTTTGTATTATTTTAATCCTTTACCTACGTTATTCCCTTTTCCAGCTACCTGTGAAAAGTGCGCTGTATAATGATGACGATGACAGCCACCTCGGCCTCGATATCCACATCCGCCTCCGCATCCGCAGCTGCATCGATAGCCAACTCGGCGTCGACGGACTGCAGCAGCAGCATGCAGGGATCGTCGACCAGCTCGGCGTCCAGCGATGTGATGACCCTGACAACGACGGCGGCCTCCTCGTGGTGCGCCATCCCGTCCAGCTGCCGTCTGCGGGTGCTCCGCCTGGTGAGGCCGCACCAGAGGCGCCTGCTGGTCGGCGGTCCGGAGCGGGGCAGCACGTACGGGTTCGCGGTGCGCGGGGGCAGGGAGCACGGCACCGGCTTCTTTGTGTCCCACGTGGAGCACGGCGGCGAGGCGCAGCTGAAGGGTCTACGGGTAAGTGGGTCACTGGGTCAGAGCCACTGGGTAACCCAATCACGTTGCCCCACCTGATGGACGCCGGACTGACACATCACTTTCCCTTCCACCCGCAGATTGGTGACCAGATATTGCGGATCAACGGCTTTCGCTTGGACGATGCCGTGCACAAGGAGTTCATCCAACTGGTGGCTGGTCAGGATCGCGTCACCCTCAAAGTGCGGGGAGTGGGAATGCTGCCTGTGCGGGAGTAAGTTTATCATACTTACGAAAACATAGTAAATCCCAATATTTTATAATCAATTATTTTTTTGTGCCTTTAAATTTGAAATTATTAAATTTTCCTTAAATATATATATATATATATTTGAAACTGTATTTTTAAATTGAACCCTATTAAACCTAAATATAAGATTTTAGCACCAAAAAAACCCACTTTAAATTAAATAATTGTCCAATTAATTTAAATATTTTGATATTAAATTATGCAATTAAAGTATATTTATTATGGATTTAAAATAGTAAATCCAGTTTTCTTATTTTCAATTCAAATATTTTTCGCCTTGCTTTTTATCCAATGTGGGTGCAAACATTTTAAATATTTAATTTGACTTTATTTGAGTCCAGGTTTTTGTATCTGAAAATGTATTTTTTGTGTAAACCGTAAAAAACTTAAATATACTGCCTTTAAAACATATTTATAGTATGTTAGTAACTCAAATATTTAAATATTATTATTTATTAAAAACAATGCGCATTAAATTTCATGATTTAATTATTAAAGTATATTTGATTAAAATATTTAAATTTCTGACACTGTCCCCGTTGTTATTTTAGCCAAGCGGAGGAACGTTTGTCCTGGAGCGTGGTGAAGTTGCCCAGCGTGAGCGGCACTCCGTCGGAGAGCTCCTTCAAGGGCGAGCGGCGAGTGGGGACATCGGCCAGCAGGGACATCAGCGTGGTGCTCCATGTGGCGCCCAGGACGAAGCTGGGCCTGGGCATCTGCAAGGGGCCCGAGTGGAAGCCGGGCATCTTCGTGCAGTTCACCAAGGAGCGCAGTGTGGCTCGGGAGGCGGGCCTGCGGCCGGGCGACCAGATCCTCAGCGTCAACAGCATCGACTTCTCGGACGTGCTCTTCAGCGAGGCGGTGGCCGTGATGAAGAGCAGCAGCAAACTGGACATGGTGGTGCGCACGGCGGCGGGCTGTGACCTGTTCCCGGGCGAATCCAGTGGCTACAACAGCTCGGCCAGTTCGGTGACCGGCGATCAGAGTCCCTGCTGGGCGGATGCCAAGTCCAAGCGATTGACGGCGGTAAGGGAGGAGTCCGGCGGAGGTTCAAACTCAGGATCTGGAACGGCTGGTACCAACTGGTCGCCGGGCGTCGAGGTGCACAAGCAGATGAACAAGACCATTATCAAGCTAACCGAGAACGGGACCTCGATAAACAACACCTACATAGCCAGTTCCGGTGGCAGTTCCGGTTCCGGTTCCGGTTCCTCGGCCAGCGGCACTTCCGGTCGCAGCCAGCACTCGCAATCGCACACGCACTCGAATCCCTCTCGCCATTCAACCACCATGAAGCGCAGCCACCTGAGACCGGTTAACACTTCGACTTCGGCAGTGGGCCTAGCCGGAGGATCAGGATCGGGATCAGGAGCGGGAGCGGCCGCCATCGCCGTACCTGCTCCGCCGCCACCGGCCATCGGTGAAGGAGTCAGTGCCGGCGGCTCCGTGGGCAGCAGTCTCTCCAGTGCCATTACCGAGGAGCTCAAGAAGCGCAAGGAGGTGGGTTTGCTCACATTTACAATGTCTTCATGTTTTGTCTTTTATTTATAATTGTTTTTTTAAATTGAATTTACAAAATATTTGAGTTCAAACAACGAGTAGCAGTCACTTATATAAAAAAATATTTTATTTTAAATTTTAAAAACCAAGTCGTTTGTAGCATCAGATTTTAATATTTCTATATCTAATATCCAAAAAGGTAAAGCATTACCTAAAATATAGGTCATAAAGATACTTTTTAAATAATTTTGTTTTTTAATTGTAGAATTTAAATTTTATTAAATTTGTATAAAAAAAAAGAAAACAGTAATGTAATAACACAATATTTAAATATGGCTCTTAAAACAAAACCCATATTAAAGTATTAAAAAAAAAAAATGTTATATTTTCAAGAAGTTGTGCTTAATTTTATAAAAGTAGCACATTTTTTTGTTAACTGCACCACAGCAGATTGCTCCACCAGCAACTAATTGGAATCATTGCAGAAGCAGCAACAGCAACAACAACAGCAGCAGCGCAACAATCGCGATCGAGATAGAGATCGAGATGGAAATGGAAATGGAAACGTGGATCGTCAGCTGGCGGGGCACAATGAACGCGGAGTGGGAAATGGAAATGGAAATGGAAGTGGAGGCCACCGCAACGCCGGCGGCCAAGTGTCGCATCGCCAGCGGGCGAGTGTTGCTGGCGTGGCTGCAACATTGCAGGGCAGCGAACGCATCAGCAATTCGGTCGGAGGAGGTGGAGGCGGAGGCGGAGGAGCAGGTGCATCCAACGGCGCTGGTGGAGATCAGCACACGGCACTGATGGATGAATTCAAGCGGGCTCACCAGCGAATGTTCAGGAACGGGTTCCATGAGAGCGAGCACAAGGTGAGCAACCAGCAATAGCAACATCAAAAACGCAGCAGCATCAGCAGCAGCAACAGCAACATCGGCAATTTATCGATTGTCGGCTACTTGCAAAGGTCAAGAGAGCTGGCTCAGTAGACACTGCACTTGTTGTGGGCCAGGGGAACTCCTCCTTCCTCCCTCCTCATCCAAAAAAACCCCTTTTTCCCAGCCCCATTGTTGATGGTCGATGGTGGATAGTTGCAGTTACCCAACGGAGCAGCAACTCAAGTGGCTGGCCACTTGGCGGAATGAATAGTTGAAGGGGGGACTTGATTATAATGAATTGCGGTGGCCCCCATTCAGCGATGGCATCTTATCGGCCAGATCGATAAGCGCCGTCGCAGCCGATGGCTCAGATTGCCCAGATTGCATCGGCCATATAATCAGGATCAGTCACCATTAAGTTGATACCAATTTGCAGTGGTGTTTCGCTGAAATATCTTTAATTGTTCGCTTTTGTGTTGATAAATGGGCTGTCAATTGTATAGTTTCTTCTTGAATATCCATTACTATCTTGCTGAACTAATGCATTTTAAATAGCTGCTATAATATTTAAATGATTCAATTATAATAAGCAATTAGCTAAGCTTGTTAGCTTTTATGACTGTTTATTAGGGTGCATGCAATAGCGCCTGCAGTTAGGATTATTTATCCATATCGAAATTAAATGAAATTTCCATATTAAAGCTTTTCTTTGTTAATATTTATAAATAATAATTTCTATGCATTGCTTAACATATTTTAAAAATTAGTTTCCAACAGTTACAATTGATACTTTAAAGGCAGTACAATAATTTGTATGACTGATGGGCCATTGGCAATTCTACGAAAATCAATCAAAAACCCGTATTTGCTGGATGACAGTCCAATTGTTATCGATGGCACTTGCCATCGGACATGGGGTCGCGGTTCCTGGCCGTTTTTGGCCAAAGTTCCGCACCCAACTGAACGGGCGGATGACTCACCCGAAAGAGCGAGCAAATTAGAGGGAATCAAAACAAAAGCGGGCAAACAAATGGCCAAAAGCAAACAGGTGGGGTGGTGCTGTGGCTGGTGCTCTGACTGGTATATGTGTATTATTTTTCGAGCTGACTCTTCTGTGACTGCTCCTCAATGGCTTTATCTAATCGGAGGCGTCGGCCGATGAACGGTGAACGGTGAACGATGAACCATACTGCGCCGCCGAAGTTGTCCAGTCTTGGCAAGAGCCCGCTGGGAAACAGATCGCATTTTGGGGGCCGGAAAATGAGTTTGCTGCGCGTGAAGAACGGTGGGGGAGGAGACGGGGAGGGGTCAGGGGTCATGCCGACCATGCGACCCGTAAGCATGGGTCGCCCGTTGGTCACCATGTCCACATATCAGGTATTTCCGGGCGGTACTTCCACTCCTCACAACTATTTAGTGGCTGATCTATTGCTAATTTGGGGTTTTTCCTCCGTCTCTCTATTTTTGCAGGAACGTGGTGAAACGCTAAAACGCACCTCGATTATGCCCGACGAGAGCTGTTATCGGAATAGTATCAACAGCAATGGCTTCGGCAGCAACAGGAGCAACAGCAACGGCAGCAACACGAGCAACAGCAACGGCAGCAACACGAGCAACAGCAACACCAGCAATAATAGTCGTCTGCAGCCACCGAACGGAATAAATCCTGCAAATGGCAATGGATCGCCGGAACTGCCGCCACCGGTAAGCGAATGACCCGTGTCCGAGTGTCCAACAATTGCCCAAACCTGTCGGCCATCAATAAAACTCCACACTAAATGCGATTTCGAAAGAATAACTATTATTGTTACATTGAATTTTCCCATAGTTTTTTTTTTTATAAGGGGTGTCTAACATTTACAAATTTTCAAAAAAATTATAAAATATTTTTGCTTACTGATTTAAGTTTTAGTTAAGTACTATGAGCCTAAAATAAATATTTAGCAACAAAATACAAATAAACAAATTGTGTTTTTGCTTAAGGTTCTATCTTGACTTCCTAATCTTTTTGTGTGAAAATTAAATGACACAACTTAAGTAGCTCTGATTTTCATTTTAAGTGGCAACATTTTATCTTTTTCATTAGGCAATCAGTCTTCTTAATCTTTAATTGCGGCTTATACTGTATGAATCAGTGGCAATTAAATGGGTAGCCGTAAAACTGGAAAATGAAAAAAAATAAACAAGATTTTTAGTTGCAGAAACTTTATTTTTTTTAAATCGTGTTTGGAAAATAATTTTATATATTTATTTTACTTTATTGGTATAAGCCAGTGTTATGACCTTTTGCAGATACTTTTCTAAATTGAAGTTTTTTTAGTTTGATTTTGACATTCCCTTATCCATCTGACATGTTACGAGTTGAGAGTCAGTTTTTAAACCGCTTATTGTTATTTTGCAGCCACCACAGTTCGCCAATCCCCAGCCAAAGCAGCAGCTCAAGCTGATCACCGGAAGTGCAGCGGCTAACGGAAGCGGAAACGGAAGTGGGATTGGGCCTAACAATGAATTGGGCAATGGCAGCTTGGCCAAGGTCAAGCAGCCCATGTCGCCCATGCGCAGTGCCAGCATCAGTGTGGGCGGTTTCCGGCCACCGGCCACGCCCCAACCGGACTACGATGCCGTCCAACTAAGATCCCCTCCAGGAACAGGAACCGGATCAGGATCAGGATCAACCACGAGTCAGCAGCAAAGGAGAACCCTGCGACTGGGCACGGTGACCATCGGGGAGTACGGGGATCAGAGGACGACGGGCAAGCGGGAAACGCTGCGGAAAACCAACGGAGAGGCCGGTGGCTCCAATGGCATCCTGAAGAACGGAAGCAACCGGAGCAGCGCCAGCTTCAATCACGGCTCCGCCCACCAGCCGGAAAAGTCCATCAAGTTCGGCAACTGATCGGGATATATACTACTATACTCTATATATTTTGTGCAATATGCTCGATGACCCACAAGGAGAGTACAAAAATCGGACGTGCAGCGACTTTCCATACGCATTACATTATATCAGTTCTTTTTTTTTTTGCTTACATCTAACTATTATTGTACTTTTTTTTTAACGATTTGTTGGAAATGTATTGTACCACTAGTTGCTATTATTTAACAAACACTGTAAATAAACCACAGGCGAGTGTGTGTGTGTGTGTGCGTTTCCAATAAAGCATATACATACCTTATACCCCGGCTCTAGATATAAAAATAAATGTCTGTATAGTAGTACATCTAAACAAAAGCGAAACTGATAAGGCGGCGAAAATATTTAGCCGCTTGCGTCAACTCACAAAGGCCGTCAGGCAAATCCCAATTACATTTGAGCCGTAAAGATATCGGCCGTGTTCTCGGGTGTACGCCTCAATTGATATTGACTCCGCGTGATAAAACAGAGCATAAATCTCCGGCGACACTTTTAATTAAGCAAAGACGTATCGCCGAGGAAATGGCAAAACGAACAGACTTTGGTGAATTTATAGAAGTTTTCATATCAGGTTTTCTTGTTCAGATTGGTTCTTATGGTTGCCTCCTCGTGGAGATCTATTTTTGGAGGTTATGTTTGGAGGTTACACAGTAAGTATATTGAAATCCAATATCTCAGATAGCAGATTTTAAGCATATTCTCCAAAGAAAAAGTTGCTTATTTTTGAAGGATTTAGTTTTTTCAATTTATTTCGGTACAGTGACAATATAATAAATATATTAAATATACATGAAATGGTTTTTAAAAACTTTACTTACAATTACTTATTATAAGGTGGCTACATTTCAATTATAATAGGCAATTTAAAATGTAGCTGACAACTCTTGGATTTAATAACTAAACCACAACCCTCTTTTTGGGATTTTTAAGATGAAGTCAGTAGAAAGCCTAACGAATTAAGAATGTAACCATACCAAGCTCTAAGAAAAACCCCTTTCCTATAGGGTGCAAACTTCTCCAGCCCTACTCCTTGAACCTGAAAACCTTCAGCCCTGGGAACGGAAGTCTTCATTTTCGCTGACAGTCACAGGAAAATCATTTTCCTTTGACAGGTCAAAGACATTGGAAGTTTCTGGAGCTCTATTCTTGTGAAAAAAAGACGAACAGCACCGTTCTTACAGTTTTTAACTTAAAAAAACCACAAAAAAAAGCAGAAGAAAATGGAAGGCACTGGCAAGCAATGGGTTATCGACGAGGCCTTGGCCAATACATCGCTGGGTAAGGTGGATTTTCCAAAGGCAACCGCGGTTTCTGAGCAACCATCTTTCCCAGATGATTACTACGAGCAGCACGTGAAGGAGTCGGACAAGTACCAGAGCCGCCGGGGCGTCGGGCCGTACGCCTCGCAGGCGGAGACGCGTCGTCATTTCCAGCGCACGCACTACTTCGGCCCCGCCTACCGTCCCAAGCCGCCCCTTCTGGCGTCGCATGCCGCGCGGCTGGAGGGACTGCGCGGCCAGATCAGTGAGCTGATGAACCACCTGTCCACCGTTAATGGAGCCATCAATCAGTTGAATCAGATCAAGAAGCGTTTGGGCCAGGCACCATCATCTCCTACTCCTCTTCGTACTGCTACTTCTACTCCTACTCCTTCTCCTACTCCTTCTCCTACTCCTTCTCCTACTCCTTCTCCTACTCCTTCTTCTACTCCTTCTCCTACTCCTTCTCCTACTCCTTCTCCTACTCCTGATGCGACTCCTACTCCTTCTCCTATTCATACCCCTACTCCAGCTGGGGTTACCAAGGATGTTATGGATGAGACGGATGCAAAAGATGACCCGGACGAGCAGCCCCTGGTCCTCATTATTGGCGACGAGGTCCTCTACGACGAGGCCTACAAAACGGACTTCTTCTGGATGACCAATCAATCCTAGGCCCCACTGGTTTTGAGGTTGTGACACAAGCGGCACAAGTGGAAAAACCACCTCACCAACATAAAACATAAATAAATATTCCCAAATGAAGCACTATTAATTGATCGAGTTTCATGAAAAGTAAAAGTGGGCGGCGGTGGCAAATGCACTGCGAGATAAGCCAGGGAATTTTATAATTTCACAACTGATTTCCGTTTTTATTAATTACAAATTAGGTTTTTTTTTTGCTGTCGTTATGAAACTGGAAATCAACCATGACAAAATAGCACAACAATAACTCTTTCTTCTAAGGCTCCAGTTTAATTTGGAAGTATGTATGCAATTGTAATAGCTTTTATTGCTTTTGCAGGATATCTCGAAATATATGATTGTCGACTATCGACTAAGACTTACTTTATTGTACTTCAGAAAGTTGATTTAAAATAAAATAAACTTTTACATAGAATATAAGGTACAGAAATAAATAAAATAAAATTATATATATATACATATGTGTTTTTTTTTTTGGTAATAACAGAACACTTTTAAAAATATGCAGAAATTGGGCATAAAATTAATTTTTCAAGAAAAAACACCTAAAATGCTGAGAAGTAATGGCCAAAAGATGGAATGTCATACATCGCTGAATTCGTCATTAAATTACCAATCGAATGGCATTTTTTATAAGGGGGTACAGCATCATTTTTTGTGAAATTTTGAAGATCTGCAAATTTTTTAACTGAGAATGCCATTTGATTGGCAATTTAAAAAATTTTTAGATCTTCAAAATTTCACAAAAAATGATGATGTACTCCCTTAGAAAAAATGAAAAAATTGGTCATAACGTTAATTTTTCAAAACTGTATTTTGAAAAATCGGTTTTTCTTATTAAAACCAAACAAATAAACCGATTGTAGATGGGTAGCATAGGTTGCCAGCTGTCCAAAACAGTCACTCTTATGGCTCTACCTCTAATTTTGGCCAAGTTACAAAAAAAGGACGCTTTAGGAATTTTTTATTGGTCAAATCTCCAAAAACTCAAAAAAAAGCACCTAAAATATCGGTTTTTGTATCAAAACCTTGGGAAAAAATGGTCACCAGATGGAATGTCATACATCGGCGAATTCGTCATTAAATTGCCAATCAAATGGCATTCTCAGTTACAAATTTTTCAGATTTTCGAAAATTCGCAAAAAATGATGATGTACCCCCTTTTTTTGGCCAAGTTACAAAAAAAGGACGCTTTAGGAATTTTTGTATTTGTCAAATCTCCAAAAACTCAAAAAAAAGCACCTAAAATATCGGTTTTTGTATCAAAACCTTGGGAAAAAATGGTCACCAGATGGAATGTCATACATCGGCGAATTCGTCATTAAATTGCCAATCAAATGGCATTCTCAGTTAAAAATTTTTCAGATTTTCGAAAATTCGCAAAAAATGATGATGTACCCCCTTATCAAAAATGCGAAAATTGGCCATAACGTTAATTTTTCAAAAGTCTATTTTGAAAAATCGATTTTTCATATTAAAACCAAATAAATGGCTCTAAACTGATTTTAGATGGGTAGTATAGGTTGCTAGCTGTCCAAAACAGTCACTCTTATGGCTCTTCCTCTCATTTTGGCCAAGTTAAAACAAAATAACGCTTTAGAAATTTTTTATTGGTCAAATCTCCAAAAACTCAAAAAAAAGCACCTAAAATATCGGTTTTTGTATCAAAACCTTGGGAAAAAATGGTCACCAGATGGAATGTCATACATCGGCGAATTCGTCATTAAATTGCCAATCAAATGGCATTCTCAGTTAAAAATTTTTCACATTTTCGAAAATTCGCAAAAAATGATGATGTACCCCCTTATCAAAAATGCGAAAATTGGCCATAACGTTAATTTTTCAAAAGTCTATTTTGAAAAATCGATTTTTCATATTAAAACCAAATAAATGGCTCTAAACTGATTTTAGATGGGTAGTATAGGCTGCCAGCTGTCCAAAACAGCCAATCTTATAGTTCTACCTCTAATTTTGGCCAAGTTACAACAAAATCACGCTTTAGAAATTTTTTATTGGTCAAATCTCCAAAAACTCAAAAAAAAGCACCTAAAATATCGGTTTTTGTATCAAAACCTTGGGAAAAAATGGTCACCAGATGGAATGTCATACATCGGCGAATTCGTCATTAAATTGCCAATCAAATGGCATTCTCAGTTAAAAATTTTTCAGATTTTCGAAAATTCGCAAAAAATGATGATGTACCCCCTTATCAAAAATGCGAAAATTGGCCATAACGTTAATTTTTCAAAAGTCTATTTTGAAAAATCGATTTTTCATATTAAAACCAAATAAATGGTTCTAAACTGATTTTAGATGGGTAGTATAGGCTGCCAGCTGTCCAAAACAGCCAATCTTATAGTTCTACCTCTCATTTTGGCCAAGTTACAAAAAAAGGACGCTTTAGGAATTTTTGTATTTGTGAAATCTCCAAAAACTCAAAAAAAAGCACCTAAAATATCGGTTTTTGTATCAAAACCTTGGGAAAAAATGGTCACCAGATGGAATGTCATACATCGGCGAATTCGTCATTAAATTGCCAATCAAATGGCATTCTCAGTTAAAAATTTTTCACATTTTCGAAAATTCGCAAAAAATGATGATGTACCCCCTTATCAAAAATGCGAAAATTGGCCATAACGTTAATTTTTCAAAAGTCTATTTTGAAAAATCGATTTTTCATATTAAAACCAAATAAATGGCTCTAAACTGATTTTAGATGGGTAGTATAGGCTGCCAGCTGTCCAAAACAGCCAATCTTATAGTTCTACCTCTAATTTTGGCCAAGTTACAACAAAATCACGCTTTAGAAATTTTTTATTGGTCAAATCTCCAAAAACTCAAAAAAAAGCACCTAAAATATCGGTTTTTGTATCAAAACCTTGGGAAAAAATGGTCACCAGATGGAATGTCATACATCGGCGAATTCGTCATTAAATTGCCAATCAAATGGCATTCTCAGTTAAAAATTTTTCAGATTTTCGAAAATTCGCAAAAAATGATGATGTACCCCCTTATAAAAAATGCGAAAATTGGCCATAACGTTAATTTTTCAAAAGTCTATTTTGAAAAATCGATTTTTCATATTAAAACCAAATAAATGGCTCTAAACTGATTTTAGATGGGTAGTATAGGCTGCTAGCTGTCCAAAACAGTCACTCTTATGGCTCTTCCACTCATTTTGGCCAAGTTACAAAAAAAGGACGCTTTAGGAATTTTTGTATTTGTCAAATCTCCAAAAACTCAAAAAAAAGCACCTAAAATATCGGTTTTTGTATCAAAACCTTGGGAAAAAATGGTCACCAGATGGAATGTCATACATCGGCGAATTCGTCATTAAATTGCCAATCAAATGGCATTCTCAGTTAAAAATTTTTCAGATTTTCGAAAATTCGCAAAAAATGATGATGTACCCCCTTATCAAAAATGCGAAAATTGGCCATAACGTTAATTTTTCAAAAGTCTATTTTGAAAAATCGATTTTTCATATTAAAACCAAATAAATGGCTCTAAACTGATTTTAGATGGGTAGTATAGGCTGCCAGCTGTCCAAAACAGCCAATCTTATAGTTCTACCTCTAATTTTGGCCAAGTTACAACAAAATCACGCTTTAGAAATTTTTTATTGGTCAAATCTCCAAAAACTCAAAAAAAGCACCTAAAATATCGGTTTTTGTATCAAAACCTTGGGAAACAAGAAAGAAAGCAAACTTCGGCAAGCCGAAGTTCATATACCCTTGCAGCTATCGCAAGAATTAAATATTTTTGAAAACATTAAAATTATGATTTACTTGCGTATATGTTTAAAAACATTGAAGCTATGACGATTTGCAGCTTAATTATTTGATTGTTCTTTTATATATTTATATTATTTGTATGGGAGCTATATGATATAGTCGTCCGATTTTGATGAAATTTAAACCATAATTCTGAAATATTTAACCATTGCTATATGTCGAAGAACTAAAAAAAAATTAAAAAACAGCAAAGTTATAATTTTTTTCAATTATTGTTCCGATTGTTCCTATGGGAGCTATATGCTATAGTCGTCCGATTTTGATGAAATTTTAACCATAATTCTGAAATATTTAACCATTGCTATATGTCGAAGAACTAAACAAAAAATTAAAAAACAGCAAAGTTATAATTTTTTTCAATTATTTTTCCGATTGTTCCTATGGGAGCTATATGCTATAGTCGTCCGATTTTGATGAAATTTTAAACATAATTCTGAAATATTTAACCATTGCTTTATGTCGAAGGACAAAACAAAAAATTAAAAAACAGCAAAGTTATAATTTTTTTCAATTATTTTCCGATTGTTCCTATGGGAGCTATATGCTATAGTCGTCCGATCCGGCTCGTTCCGACTTATATACTACCTGCAATAGAAAGACAACTTTTGGGAAAGTTTCATGCAGATAGCTTTAAAACTGAGAGACTAGTTTGCATATAAACGGACGGACAGACGGACAGACGGACAGACGGACGGACAGACGGACGGACAGACGGACGGACAGACGGACATGGCTAGATCGACTCTACTAGTGATGCTGATCAAGAATATATATACTTTATAGGGTCGGAAACGTCTCCTTCACTGCGTTGCAAACTTCTGACTGAAATTATAATACCCTCTGCAAGGGTATAAAAATGATCACCAGATGGAATGTCATACATCGGCGAATTCGTCATTAAATTGCCAATCAAATGGCAATCTCAGTTAAACATTTTTCAGATTTTCGAAAATTCGCAAAAAATGATGATGTACCCCCTTATCAAAAATGCGAAAATTGGCCATAACGTTAATTTTTCAAAAGTCTATTTTGAAAAATCGATTTTTATACCCTTGCAGAGGGTATTATAATTTCAGTCAGAAGTTTGCAACGCAGTGAAGGAGACATCTCCGACCCTATAAAGTATATATATTCTTGATCAGCATCACTAGGCGAGTCGATCTAGCCATGTCCGTCTGTCCGTCTGTCCGTCCGTCTGTCCGTCTGTCCGTCTGTCCGTCCGTTTATATGCAAACTAGTCTCTCAGTTTTAAA